TTTGCATGAAATATTTTTTTCCAGCCCTTCACTTTTAGTCCATATGTGTCCCTTGCTTTGAGGTGGGTCTCTTGCAGACAGCATATATAGGGGTCTTGTTTTTTTATCCATTCAGCCAGTCTTTGTCTTTTGGTTGGGGCATTCAACCCATTTACATTTAAGGTAATTATTGATAGGTATGGTCCTGTTGCCATTTACTTTGTTGTTCTGGGTTCACGTTTATACAACCTTTCTGTGTTTCCTGTCTAGAGAAGATCTTTTAGCATTTGTTGAAGAGCTGGTTTGGTGGTGCTGAATTCTCTCAGCTTTTGCTTGTCTGTAAAGCTTTTGAATTCTCCTTCATACCTGAATGAGATTCTTGCTGGTTACAGTAATCTAGGTTGTAGGTTATTCTCTTTCATTAATTTAAGTATGTCCTGCCATTCCCTTCTGGCCTGAAGGGTTTCTATTGATAGATCATCTGTTATCCTTATGGGAATCCCTTTGTGTGTTATTTGTTGTTTCTCCCTTGCTGCTTTTAATATTTGTTCTTTGTTAACTTGATTAATATGTGTCTTGGGTGTTTCACCTTGGGTTTATCCTGTTTGGGACTCTCTGGGTTTCTTGGACCTGTGTAACTATTTCCTTCCCCATTTTAGGGAAGTTTTCAGCTGTTATCTCCTCGAGTATTTTCTCATGGGCTTTCTTTTTGTCTTCTTCTTCTGGGACTCCTATGATTTGAATGTTGGGGCGTTTCACATTGTCCCAGAGGTCCCTGAGGTTGTCCTCATTTCTTTTGATTCTTTTTTCTTTTTTCCTCTCTGCTTCATTTATTTCCACCATTTTATCTTCTACCTCACTTATCCTATCTTCTGTCTCCGTTATTCTACTGTTGGTTCCCTCCAGAGTGTTTTTGATCTCATTTATTGCATTATTCATTTTTAAATGACTCTTTTTTATTTCTTCTAGGTCCTTATTAAACATCTCTTGCATCTTCTCAATCTTTGTCTCCAGGCTATTTATCTGTAATTCCATTTTGTTTTCAAGATTTTGGATCACTTTTATTATCATTAATCTAAATTCTTTTTCAGGTAGATTCCCTATCTCCTCCTCTTTTGTTTGACTTGGTGGGCATTTTTCATGTTCCTTTACCTGTTGCGTATTTCTCTGCCTTTTCATCTTGTTTAGATTGCTGTGTCTGGAGTGGGCTTTCTGTATTCTGGAGGTCTGTGATTCCTTTTTGTTGTGGAGGTTTCACCCAGTGGGTGGGGTTGGATGATTGGCTTGTCAGGGTTTCCTGGTTAGGGAAGCTTGCATCAGTGTTCTGGTGTGTGGAACTGGATTTCTTCTCCCTGGAGTGCAATGGAGTGTCCAGTAATGAGTTTTGAGATGGATCTATGTGTTAGGTGTGACTTTGGGCAGCCTGTATGTTGATGCTCAGGTCTATGTTCCTGCATTGCTGGAGAATTTGTGTGGTATGTCTTGCTCTGGAACTTATTGGCTCTTGGGTGGTGGTTGGTTTCAGTGTAGGTATGGAGGCTTTTGGATGGTCTCTTATTACTTAATGTTCCCTGTAGTCAGGAGTTTTCTGGTGTTCTCAGGTTTTGGCCTTAAGTCTCCTGCCTCTGGGTTTCAGTTTTATTCTTCTAGTATTCTCAAGACTTCTCCAACTATACAGCACTGATAATAAAACTTCTAGGTTAACGGTGAAAAGATTCTCCACCATGAGGGACACCCAGAGAGGTTCACAGAGTTACATGAAGAAGAGGAGAGGGAGGAGGGAGATAGAGGTGAGCAGGAGGAGAAAAAGGGGGACTCAGGAGGAGAGAGACAGATCTATGCAGTTCTCTGTTCCCAAAGTGTTCTCCGTAGCCCAGACACCCACAGAGATTCACAGAATTGGATTGGGAAGAGATGGGGGAGGGAGGAAACAGAGGTGTTCTGAGGTAGAAAATGGAGAGTCAAAAGTGGGAGAGAGTAAACAACACACTGGGTACTGAATATTGGATTCTTAAATGTCCAAAATTTATATCACATACTGAAAAACAAAGATTAAAAATCTAGAGTAGAGGTTAGACTCTTAAAAATACAATATTAAAACAAAAACACATTTTAGAAATATATATGAAGTTCGGTTTAAAAATAGGGCTTCTTTTTTTTTTTGCGAGGTTATAGTGAAATGAAAATGAAAATTAAGGAGTAATAGAGGACTTTAAAAGAGAATAAGAGAAAAAATAAAACAAAAAAAATTTTTTTCCTAATTAAAAAAATAGCAAAAATATATGAAAATGAAAATGAAAGTTTAGGAGTAATGGAGGAGTAATAGGGAATTTTAAAATAAAATAAAAGAGAAAAAGTAAAAAAGAAAAGAATTTTTTAATTAAAAAAAAAGGTAAAAATATATCTAGGAATTTCTCTGGAGCTGTTGCAGTCAGTGTGGGTTTGGTTCAGTTTCAGATAGCTCCTCGTTCCAGTTTGCACTTCTCGATATCTATAGGCCCCTTCCGGTGTAGTCGGTGTTACCTACAGGTATTTTAATCTGTTGCATTGGTCACTTCTGAAGTGGTCTCCTTTGTTTACTTGGCTTCTGTTTGCCAGTCTCTTCAGTGTCTAATTTCCGCCCTGAGACAACTGGGTGGAGGTGGTCTCTAGTTTAGGTTCGCTTGTTCAGTCCTGCTGTGGGGAGGGAGGGGCGCTGCAGGGAGGGGCACTGCAGACAGATATAGCTGGCATGTGTGGGTGGCACTCATATAGTGTTCCCACCCCACTGGGTTTGTGTGCTTTCCCCGTCTACACTGCTCAGGCTCCTGGCTGCTCTATATGGAGCGGGCCCTGCGTTGCATGTGGTTCCAGTTTTCAGGTTCTCCACAAAAGCGCGGACTTGGTTGGCCTGCGTTTTGTGCCTTCCCCAGCTGAGCAGCTCAGGCAGCCAGGAGCTTAACAGGCGCACTCTCCCCGGGTGCGGCGCGCCTTCTCCCCTCCGCGGTCCCAGCTTCAGTTTCCCCGTGCTCCAGTCGGGTGCGTGCGCCTTGTGTCTGTTCTCGGGAGCTGGCCTCTAGCCGCGACCCTCCCGGCGGATGTCGACCATCCAGAATCTCAGGAAATCTTTGGTTAGAGACTGGAGGCCTGTTTGCAGTTTGGTAGGGGTGCCGTCTCTGGGGCCGAGTTTGCCCCTTTCCCTTCCCGCCTGCTTCTGGTGGGGATGGGCCAGTCCGCCGCCGGCTAGCTCTTCTCTGGAACTGCTCAGTCCGTTTGTTCTGTGAACAGCTGGCAGTGTGTTCGGGCCAGTTAATTTTCTCTCTCTTTCTTGCTATCCCACAGTTTAAGTTGCTATCTCATGTTAGTTCCCTCCGATTGCCCTCAGGGCACTCAGGCCCGGTCCTTACCCTAAGCAATGCTCCTCTCCGTTTCGCCCCCACTTGCTGGTGGCGGATGCAGGCGTCTGGGGTACTTTTCTGCTGGGAGTTGCTTTTAGGCGTGTAATCTGTGGGTTTTATTTATTTTTCCTCCCATTTAGGTTGCCCTCCGAGATTCGAAAACTTCCCCCAGACCCGCCAGTGAGAGGGTTTCCTGGGGTTTGGAAACCTGCTCCACTAGGACTCCCTTCCCTGGACGGGTCTCCATCCGCAGCTCTTTTGTCTCGCTTTTTATCTTTTATATTTTGTCCTACCTCCTTTCGAAGATGATGGGCTGCTTTTCTGGGCGCCTGATGTCTTCTGCTAGCAGTCAGAAGTTGTTTTGTGAAGTTTGCTCTGTGTTCAAATGTTCTTTTGATGAATTTGTAGGGGAGACAGTGGTCTCCCCATACTATTCCTCCTTCATCTTGGCTCCTCCCCCTCGATATCCTGTTTGACCACTTTCAGTTTGCCTTGATTCATGGACCTAACATTCCCCTTACCCTAATCCTAGTCTTGTAAACACCTTTACCTCATTTCCCTTCTCCTTTGATGTATTACCCACTCTCTCTACTGGCCAAACTCAACCAGAAAACAGAAACTTCAGGCACCCTGTTCACACTATTTGCATCGGTCAGCATCTCAAGCATAGTTCATAGTGGTGAAAAGTGGAGAATAGATCTAGGTGAGAGCCAATTAAAGAAATTGGGCACAAAACTTTCCTGTAAGAGTTTAAAAGTTTTGCTTTCACATTTAAAGCTTTATTATAGTAATTTTTTTTTTTTGGTCATATAAGTAGACTTTAAGATTCAAAATATGTAAAAATTTCAACAAAATGAAAAGGCAACCTACTAAATGGGAGAAAATATTTGCAAATCATGTATCTGGTAGGAGGTTAATATCTAAAATATATAAAGCACTCATACAACTCAACAGAAAAAGAAGCCCAAACTATCCAGTTTAAAAATGAGTAGAAGATTTTGATAAATATTTTTTACAAAAACAAACATAAGGTCAACAAATACTGTAAAAGATGCTCAATGTCACTAATCATCAAGGAAATGAAAATCACAACCATAATGATATATCACCTCACACCTGTCAGAATGCTTATTATAAAACACAAGAAAAAAATAAGTGTGGGCAAGGATGTGGAGGAAAGGGAACCTTTGTCCGTTGTTGATGGTAATGTAAATTGGTACAGTCACTATGGAAAAGAGCATGTAAATTCCTTTAAAAAAAATAGAATTACCATGTGACCCAGATATTCTAATTCTGGGTATTTATCTGAAGAAAATGAAAACACTGATTCATAAAGATATATGCACCCCCATGTTTTATTGCAGTATTATTTACAATAGCCAAGATTTGGAAACAACCTCCATGTCTATTGATGGATGAGTAGATAAAGAAATCATAGCGCATGCGCCAACTTCCTCTTTCCCGGCTGGAACTATGGAGGGTGCAGAAGAGAAGAAAAAGAAGGTTCTGGCGAAAAAGCGAAAGAATTTCGCAGAGCTTAAGATCAAGCGCCTGAGAAAGAAGTTTGCCCAAAAGGTGCTTTGAAACGCAAGGAGGAAGCTTATTTATGAAAAAGCTAAGCATTACCACAAGGAATACAGGCAGATGTACAGAACTGAAATTCGAATGGCTAGGATGGCACGAAAAGCTGGCAACTTCTATGTACCCACGGAACCCAAATTGGCATTTGTCATCAGGATCAGAGGTATCAACGGTGTGAGCCCAAAGGTTCGAAAGGTGCCGCAGCTCCTTCGCCTCTGGCAGATCTTCAATGGCACCTTTGTGAAGCTCAACAAGGCATCAGTTAACATGCTGAGAACTGTGGAGCCATACATTGCACGGGGGTACCCAAATCTGAAGTCTGTGAATGAACTGATCTACAAGCGTGGTTATGGCAAAATCAACAAAAAGCGAATTGCCCTGACAGACAACGCATTGATTGCTCGATCTCTTGGGAAATACGGAATCATCTGCATGGAGGATCTGATTCATGAGATCTATACCGTTGGAAAACGTTTCAAAGAAGCAAACAACTTCCTGTGGCCCTTTAAATTGTCTTCTCCACAAGGTGGAATGAAGAAAAATACCACCCATTTTGTAGAAGGTGGAGATGCTGGCAACAGAGAAGACCAGATCAACAGGCTTATTAGAAGGATGAACTAAGGTATCTACCAGGATTATTTTTGTAATCTGGTCCATTAATAAACAATTGAAACAAACAAAAAAAAGAAATCATATATATGTGTACATATATATGTATAATATTCAGCCATAGAAAAGAATAAAATCTTGCCATTTGCAGCTTCATGGATGGACTTCAAAGGCATTATCCTGGATGAAATAAGTCAGAGAAAAACAAATACAGAATGATGTTTCCTATGTGGAATCTTAAAAACAAGAAGCTCATAGATACAGAAAACAGATTGGTGACTGCCATAGGTGAGGGTTGGGTGGGTAAAATGGGTAAGGATTCAAAACTTTCAAACTTTTAGTTATAAAATAAATAAGTCAAGGAGATGTAAGGTATAGCATGTTAACTATGGTTAATAATACTATATTACCTATTTGAAAGTTGCTAAAAGAGTAAATCTTAAAAGTTTTCATCACAAGAAAAAAAATTTTAACTACCTTTGGTATCAGATGTTAACTAGAATTATTGTGGTGATCATTTTGCAATATATAAAACTACTAAATCATTATGTTGTACCCTGAAACTAATATAATGCTGTATGTCAATTACACCTCAATTAAAAATAAAATTAAAAAACACACAAAATATGTAAAAACTTACACTGCATGAGCACAATCAATTGGAAACAATGCCCCCTTAGTCAGAATTGATGCTACTTTTCATATTGGGTAAGGATATACCTATATAAAATGGCTAAATATTGTATCTCATCAGAGCTGGATCCAGACCTTGTGGGGCATGAGACATATATAACTTGGGGGTCCTCTTTAAGAAAAAGAATAAATTATGTGTAAAAGAGAATGACTGTTAAGAAGAAAAATTAAAACAAAGTACAAATTTTTTAGAAAGCTAGCAAATATCACAAACCCCACAAAATCCAGGAAAATAGCATAACATTTTTATCAGTGAACTGCCCAACCCACTTTTATATTAATACTTCTCTTCCTACATTTTTGATTGCATATACTTTAGTAAACTGCATAGATTTCTTATATTTTGAGGAGTCTTCATAAATTTTGAGGGGCCTTAATAAATTCATCCATTCAGAACATCCATCTTATATGAACAAACTCATATGTTTTGTTAAAAGAGTTTACAAACAAAATAATAAAAGCAATCCTATAGTTTTGCAATGGTCCAGACAGAATCTCGCAGTGGCTTGACCATTTAAAAACTTGTTTTTTCAAAATATCTACTTGAGAAGCTTTTGTATTCACTGTGTGATTTTATTCTCTATAAATATTAATCAGGTCACTATTTTGAAAAAAAAACGTATAAAATTCTCATTAAAATGGTGAAATTATCCATCTGAACAGAACAAAATGAAAGATCATGATGTTTATCCAAGTCAACAAATTTGTCAAATTGAAGCTACTTTATACTTTCAAGTATTGATCATGTAAATTTTTTTCTTTATTATTTTCATCTTTCTTCTCATCTTTATTTCATGTTTGGGAAGGTACACACACACACACACACACACATATATATATATATATATATAAAATTTCTTTATCCACTTTTATCATTTATATTTTCTTGGCTATCTTAAATCTTTTCCTTGTCTTCATGATATTAACCATCAGAGTTTTTGGTTCATATTGTTTTGTAATAAGATAGTTTTTGACATTTTAAAACCTTATCTCATTTTAAATTTAGTTTTATTTTTGACATTCCTTAGAATAACTCTTTCTCATCATATTTAATTTTTGGCATAGTTAACAATTATGAAAAACATAAAAGTAATTTGATTTAAGGCACAGCAAAAGCAGTCAAATGGATTTATCACCAAATGATTCACACTAATACTGCATATTAGTGTACAGATGATTATGTTTAGATATGTCACTGGAACACTTGTCTCTCAGGCCATTCCACTGCATCAGTGCCAATTTTGTGTACTGCTTTTTCTGGAAACATCAGATTGTCAAAGCAAGGTGCATCAGACACACTAAGTATGTGATTCAATAGATTGGGAATGGTGAAACACAAGACCACTTACAGATGTATTTGCTGTTTGTAGTGGCACTATAGCTTTATGCTCTTTGAATATAGGAATTATGGTTGAGTTAAATTACATTTCAGGTGACCCTATCAAAAATGTAATATAGCTATAATTGCAAGCATGGCATTATTTCATGTATTTCTGACAGAAGAGAACTTACATTTTGAAACATCTTATGATTGAAAGAATTTTCCAGACTAGCTTCTGGCTTCTTGCATTTCACACCTCGTTACCTCTTCACTCTCCATATATTTCTGGTGCCAGAGGCCACAGGACATGGTCTATGATATAACCTCTAATCTGTACCTACATATCATGATGCCAGTTAGGTCTGTAGAATGGATGGTAACAGTATTTCTGGAAGTCATTCTTTACTGGGGCAGCAGCTGGCAATAACTTATATGAACACACAACGTCTTCAAACCACACCAAATTACCCAACTAAATTCAAGTACAATGACTCTCCATATCAAGTTCCCTTTAGCCACATCCAAAAAAATGCTCACAAACACTCCAATGACAGTCTACACAAACATCAATATGGTGGGAAAGTAGTTAGAATAGAAAAAGACAGTCATCTTAACTAGTATGGTCAGAATAACTTACTTTACACATTTTGCACAAGTATCTTACCACTTGAACCCATTTCTCATCCCCCTCTCAGGCCTTGGAGGAGGCTCATGAGTGTGAAAGACCCTATACTTAAGCCTGTGGCCCTAGGTGGGAGGTAGAGGTCCAATTTTATTATTTCCCATATTAATAATCAATTGTCTCAGCACATTTAATGAAAAGTCAATTTTTTTCCTTTTCTGATCTGCAGTCCCGGCTGCTGTATATTGAATTTCCATATAATTGGGAAGACACTCTCAAATGTGCTCACTGCATGTGGTTCTTGTTTCCCCTCATGGTTGGTTCATTTTTAAAGTTTCCTTGTCTCTTCGTAGATTTCCTTTACTTTCTATAAGCCCAATAACATAAGAAAATTATGTTTTATGTTGGATTTAATTGTTTTACAGGAAATAAGTCTCCAAGAATGTCTAATATTCTATACTGTCAGAAGCAGATGCCTCTATCCTTGGAGTTCTAAATTTTGGTTATCAGATTTTTCACTTTGAGAATGTCTGGTCATTCTCAATAGTCTCTTAATCTTAGTTACATTTTTGAAATATTATTTTATTTTTCTACATTTATTAAATATGTACATCTTGTATTCTGCAGATGATAATTCCAATACCTGAAGTTTTTAGGGTCTGATTCTAGTTATTTACTATTTCTGTTGACTCACTGGGTTCTGATTTCTCACAGTATTAGTGATTTTTAAAAAAATTTTAAAAACTGGTTTAGAAGAGTTTTTCATTTTATTTTCATGTCCCAATAAGAATATTTTAAATTTTACACATACTTAAACTTGTTCCTGCTGATATATGGAAAGGCCAAGTCTGTACATTAGTGATTTTTGATTGTGAACATATGTTCAATGGGGCATCTCAGGTGGCACAGTGGTAAAGAATCTGCCTGCCAATGCAGGAGCTGTGGGTTTGATCCCTGGGTTGGGAATATCCCCTGGGAGAGGAAATGGCAACCCACTCATGTATTCTTTCTGGAAGATTCCATGGGCAGAGGAGGCTGGCGGGCTATAGTCCATGCAGTTATAGAGTCAGACACAACTGATCAACTGAACACAGCACCACAGCACATGTTCAGTGCATCTTTATCTGTTGTAATTCTTCGAAGCCTGACTTAAAGGAACGGGGTTTTTCTTCCTGGAGACAATTTGAATTTGTTTCTTCTAGGTGCCTGGGAGCAGTTTCAACCCCAAACACTTCAAAATTAGTTTTTGGCTTGAAGTTTTTAAAATCAAACAGAAGTATGTATTTGGGCCACAGATTCTTGATAGCCAGATTGTGGTTTCACATTTTGGTGAGAGAACACCCCCTCATCACTGCTTGCCACTAAGATTGAGACTAATGAGGAATTTTTTTTTTTCCTAGTTTACCTTACTGTTGGGCTTCCCTTGTGGCTCAGCTGGTAAAGAATCCACCTGCAATGCAGGAGACCTGGGTTTGATCCCTGGGCTGGGAAGATCCCCTGGAGAAGGGAAAGGCTACCCACTCCAGTGGGTAGGTTCATGGCCTAGACAATTCCATGAACTGTATAGTCCTTGGGGGTCGCAAAGAGTTGGACATGGCTGAGCAACTTTCACTTATTATTGAGCGTCTAGCTAGTTGGGGATGGGGTATAGCTTTATACATGATTTCCTATCACAGTGCCTCACAAATTATCTGTGAGCCACCACAGACAACTGTTTTTGTACATATATCATCAGAATTAGTTACTAAAAAAATGGAATTCTGCTTGGATTGTTACTGCACTATAAAATCTCTAGAACTAGAGTTTCCAAACACTCTCAATTTCTGTACACATCTCAACATGTATTGGCAACAAATTTTGTAAACCAATCTGCAAACTCCACTTTGAGCAGCACTTCCCTTATTCATCCTACCTTTGGCAGACCCTAAGCTTTATCTCCTGTTTCCACATCCAGCCTGAACTTGTGATATAATGATTTTTTAATTGACTCATGATTTAATTATCTCAGTATTTTTAATTTGGGGTACATTACTTAACTTGTTCTGGCAAGATATGCATATCAGAGCCAACCCTCAAATATCCCACCTTTCTCAGTGGTTTCATTCCCTAAAGACTTAGTGTAGGAAGGATTTTGTTTTATTTGACCTTTCATTACCATTTTGGAACCTACAGAATTGACCAATGTCACCATCCCTACATTTATTTGTATACTTTAAAAAATTTTATATACTTCCTACCTTATTTACTTTTACATAGTAAATAAGAGTAGAGATTCACATTCTTACACACACCAAAACGTTTGATACTTTGACTCAAAAAATCAATGAAAGGCCGACAGTGAGTGAATGCTTGCAACTTTAAAATTTAACTTAATGT